ACAGTGGTGGGCCCTCGGTCCAGACTGACTTAGTCTGCCTCCTGTTTTGATAAGAACAGTGGTCTTTCCAACTGATCTATACCCAGTCCAGTATTTACTGTTGGATGCTACATCCCAGCCCTATCTGGTCCACAGTCAGTCTCAACTCCCCTCAGTTACCTGCAAGTACAGTGGTCTTGTCAATGGAAGTCACTCAGAAGTCATTCTTCACCTTGAGCTCTCCTCTCCCTTCCCCCTACCTTGGCAGGGAGGAAACACATGGGGAAATCCCCAGGCTCACTCTGCCTGCCTGGATGTGAGCCCCAAGGTCCCACATACCCTTGCTGGGACTCACCCCAGACTCACCCCACTGCAGTTTTTATGTTTCATTCGACAGAAAGGTGCTAGTCAGTCCTGATATTCAAAGGTAAGCAGATTGGATAGTATTGCCTTCATTCTACTTGCTGTCCGTGAGGTATAGGTAGAACCCTCTGCTTCTATCCAGTAGCTAGATAATTTGTAGAAACAGATAAATTCAGTTCCAGTCATTGGAAAGAAGGACTTTGTGATTGAGGCTGTACATCTTGGTTAGCCCTTATTCAACCTTATTCAACCTCTATGGTAATATTTAAGGTAATATTCTTTTGAACTGGAAGATGTCTACTTTATCAGCTGTGCTGACAAAGGTCTCCCTTCCAGTGAATATCCTCAGTACACAGAGGTCATCACCCAGAGTCTATTGTCCAGAAGGATGTCTAATCATTCTTCTAGCTGCCCACAGCAAAGTCCATCACTTGACTGGAAGACAATGGTTTGCCATGTAATGAGTTTGTGCTATGTGTGGTGGGAGACAAGATTAGAAGACACACATAGAAATAGAGGGAGGAGACACAGAACAAAATAGTGGATAGGAATTAAAATTAACTGCTCATGGTCCTTTCAGTGTAGTTTCCCATAAAAAGTCACTGCCTCTTTCAAGGTTCTATGGAAACCAGCTATTCTCAGTGTTTGAGACCACCAGAGAAGACTTAGTTCCCAAATTACTGGAGGAAAGCGGAAGGAAAATGCAGTACTTCGTCAGCTAGGATTGCTGATATCAGGAACCCTGCCACCGGCTTGCTCCCCCTTGTCTGCCTACTAAAAAAGCTGTAACCAGCTACAAAACCTGGCTCAGTCCTCTCACCATGCCATGAAAGGGGCTAGAGCTGAATCCAACTGCTGATGCTGACTTGGAAGAATAGGACTGAAGGCTCTGGGACTTCATCTTGCTTATTGTGTCTCAATCTCAGATCACACTGGGGAGGAGTTGACATGTCCCTAATTGTGTCTCTTCAAAAGTCTTCTCTCCTAGGTCTACCATCCAGCATGTTCAGACTTTTGGGTGCTGCTCCTGAAAGAACGTGCTGATTTCCTATTGACAGAGAACTTTCTTCAGTGTTCCACAGGCAGTGCATTCACTCAGCTTTCCCATGTGCGTTGTTTATCTAGGATCCTCACAAACAAGACCACAGAGGATTTACAGCCAGTGATTGGTTGCAAGTGTTTGTCAGTCTACAACCACATTATGCCTGTTGTTCTGGCTACAGGCCTGAAGATAAGTGACCTGACAAACAAGACTCCCAGCCCGGAACCAACAGGAACCAGGCAGCACTGTATAGCATGACCCCATCTCTAGCAGCAATTGGGAGCTGAATCTGTGCTCTTTCCAGGGTGCTTTGCTGAGACTCTGGACACATGTGTGCCAGTGGGCTGAGCGTTACCCCTGACTGCAGCCATGTGCCTAGTCTCCGTGACTGTGGGTCTGCTCATGTACCTCATTTGCTTTACAGTTCCCTGAGGAGGCTGGAGCCCTGCCCTGGACTCTAGCCTGCTTGGTTGGGCCCTGACAACCAGCCCATTGCCATCTGCCAGCTAATATCCTCTTTTAACCTGAATGGGGGCACCCGTGAATCAGGAAGCTGCCACCTGTCCCTGAGCACAGCTGCTGCCTAGCTGTTGCTGTGGGGCTTCCATTTGCTTGTCTGGACCAATCAGGTCAGATAGGCGGAAGCTACAGTATGGTTGCCTCAGTGGGAACACTACAGCCAGGTGAGTCCTCACTCCATTCTAGCCTCATGTTTTGATACTACTAGTTCAATCTTCTCACACAAATTCTACCCAACTACAACAACTGAACTCTTCCAGTGATGTTGCAATTCTCCAGAATTTCCATCAACACTGGCTCAGTTTTATTCATCAAGCCATAAAGGCCTGGTTCTATAATCTATGCATATTTTAAGGGCAAAAATATGTAATATCTCACAATAAGTGTTTCCCAAGCAAAACAATACATTCTAGCTAAAAAATGATTTCAAAGACAAAACTACCAATTCTGTACCTCCAAAACATTTTATTTATTATGGATTATGGGTTAATATTAGCATGCTGTATGATGGAGCATTAAAATGAGAACATGAATTTACTTTCATACCAGCACCACTCCACTGATAATTTCTAAGCTTATGCTCCTCTCAGCCCTGTGTGTCTAAAACTGAAATGATATGGGCATCATCATCAGGAGACACTTCAAGAATGGTTGAAGGAGTGCCTAAATCGTTAATAAAGTAAGAGCTGTCTAAATCCTCCATAGGAATATGTTCAACAAACTGCAAAATTAGAGAGGAAACTGAGGACTCATTGAGCATGGCGTCTCAGTTTGTAAGACAAAACATTTTTGGAGATGGGTTACATGGCAATCTAGAGAATATTTGTTTTATATGTTTCTGTTACAGTAAAATTTAGGAATAAAAGTTGTAGAAATATTCATAATATTCATACTGCACTTTTGAAAATCAATAATCTGATTGTCCTTAAGACCACTCTTGATTTTTTATCAGTGTAGCCCCAAGTTCTATATTTAAAACATATAAAATACATGATTATAAAATATATAGAAAATAGACATACACTTAATTATGTTGTATAATAGATACATCAAATATAAATATATATAAAACATATTTTACAACGTATCTTATTTTTCTTCTTAATGTTTCTCAAATCAATACATATTTGGGGGTTTTAATACAAACAAAATCCAAAGAACTAAAATCCAAAGTCCTCACATTGGGCTCCATGTTCTCATGGGATCTATCCCGAGCCTGTGTGTCTACAGCTCCTTCCTTTCCCAGCCTTACCCACTGAGCTGCGGGCCCACTGACCTCCCCCTGTTCCCAGGGCATGCTCAGATGCTCCACAGGCAGGGGTCTCAGGGCCTGTGCACTTACTTGCTTGTGGAATTGATTGCTTCTGATTTCCTCAGAGCTCATTCTTATTTCATTCATGCCTCACCTTCTAATAAGCGAACACTCTATATGTGAAAGAAGCATTGTCTATTCCGTTGTTCCTGCTTCACTATTTATCATCACACTTACTACTACTTACTTCTATATTAGGTACCTATTTATTGTTAGGGTTTTTTCTTATCTTTTTCAGAATGTAAACTGTGAGGCAGAGATTTCGTTTAATTTGCTCACTGCTTTAACCCCTGGTTCCAGGTTCTAGATCAGTCTTTGATGAATGAATAGCTGTATTTTGCTATGATCTGCAATTTTATGACAGCGCAATGCTATTGAATAAAGGTTGTTTCACAGAGTTAACTAATCCTGGATTTTTGCAATATCGTAAATTGCACTGCAATGGAACACTTAAGTGCATTCTCTTAAATAGGTGTTCTTTCATGTAGCATCCTCATACCCAATCACATTTCCACTTCCCCCTTTCCCCAGAGTTTGCATCATACACTTTTAGACCATATTTCTCCTCTGGCCCTGAGTGTCCAACAGTGTATCTCCAAACTCTGTATGCTGGCATCTCTGTTGATTCCACAACATTGCTCAGAAATTCACTTCCTACTTTGAGTAGATTTTTTTTCTTCTCTCATTTATTTGTTCCCAAAATTATGTTTCTATGTATACAGTTTCCACTTGAAGAACAGGTTCCAATTTCTCTAAAGTCTACCCATCTTCCAAACCCCACACCAGTTTGTGAGAATTCCCTCACACCTTCCTCCAATTCAAGCTGTCTGATTGCACACTTTCTATACTTTTATGGTACCTCCCTGGGTTAACTGCATGAAGTTGCCCTGACCACCTTGGAGATCCTCCTTTGCTTTGCTTAGTTTATAACCTTACTACTAGCCACTTTCTAAAGTAAAGCCCTACTTCTTGATTCTTTTTTTCATTCATCAAAGTCCCATGCAAGTCTAACCAGAAAATAATAAATGTTTTCAAATCTAACCAAATGCCAAAGTCAAAATTCTTTCGTTAAACAGGTTTTACTTTTGAAGAAACAGGTATCATTGTTTATGATAAGACATTTTCATCTTTCCATGTATTTTCTTGCCATATTTATACACCATCCTTCCATAAATAGTTATAACTCTTAAATTCTTATATGCAATTCTTGATCCACCATCATAGAACATTTAGCAACATTTAGTTCTTTTCTTCTAAACTTTTGCTTAAGGTAATACTGTGTGTAATATTGAATTTCATACTGGCATGATATTTAATCTGTGAGTGTTGGTTTATATATAGGTGGCGCAAGACATTTGGAAAATCATGCAATATACTTTTGCGTTTTCCCCAAGCACTTTGGGGATAATAACATTCATAGAGTAATAACTTAAAATCAACAAAGTGGGCTGCCAGGAAAGAAAACAAAACAATCCACAAGCATACAGCATGGCCTGAGGGATATATGAGAATGGTGGAAGGAATGCCTTAATGAGGATACCATTGCTAGTTCTAGGCTGAGAACTCATACAGGAGCCCAGCAATGAATCTTCTTCATGGAACATTGTGCAAAGAATGTTCTACCCAAGTTCACACATCACAAGCACAAGCATTTTGATCTCCAAACTTCACACCCTTAGATTACAACATTAGGTCTTTTCCTCAGCCCCCAAGGTACTCCCTGGTTGCATGATCTCAGCATCTTTCACAGTACATTCAAGGAACCCAGGGGAAGTTCCCACTCACCATCTTCCTCGTGGAGAAGACCCATGTGTGCATATGCCTCGGCTTCCTTCTTCCCACCATCAACTTTGATCAGCTGGGCAATCTTAAAACATCGTTCATAGAAGTGGTTCCTCACCCACTTGTCCTCAGAATTATTGAAGTAACAGGCCAGAGCATACAAATTGTTGTATACATCTTCAAAGTATTCTTTAAAAGGGGGGAAAAACCATAATGTGCATGAGAAAGATTCTTCAAGGCACAGGCTTTTGGAAGGGCAGATCCATATCATGACATGCATCTCCTATTTTCCCTTAAAAGCATAATTACTCAGAAAAGCAAACCAACATACAAAAAATAAGCTTCCCTGTTGAAATAGCTTATTATTTTAAAATATGCAGATTAATACAATTTTTTCTTAAGATTCAACATGTTAGACATTGACGTATTGGTTGAAATAAAAGATGATGTGTAAGAAACAGGTCAGGTTAATACCTATCAGCAATGTGCATAGTTCTTTTGCAAGAAGGGAGCATGTGGTATTATTGATACTTTTTGAAAAGTATTTAGATTGCAGAGGCAGCATTGTTTGTTAACCATGGCATAAGCATCACAGAAATGAGGAAGTGGGAAAAATATGGACATACTACAATCTTTTCACCCACAACAGACTAAATTCATGGGACTGATAGGTGCAAGAAACCATGAACAGGATGGCCCTGTACACTCCATACACTTTCTAGAGATGTTTCCAGTAATTCAGATTTCTGGCAATGTTAGGATTCTTGGGAGTACTGGCAACTGAAGTCAATAAGGACAAAGGAATAGAGAGGAAGATCCACTGCTACACTGCTGGGGTTTTTTTTTTTCCTTGCTGAAAATGCATAAATGTTAGTTACCCCTTTCACACAACAGTTGTCAGTTTATTATTTAAAACCCCTCTAGGTGTTTTCCCAAAAGTGAGTGGCATCTGACCTATATATACAAAAAAGGAGTGTACTAATAAATTGTGAATCAGTTTCTATTGCAACCAACTCTATTGCAACATTGCACCTGAACGGAATTCTTTGTGTTAATAAATTGCATCTCACTTTTATAAATCCTGCTCTAATACTGAATATGAACAAATTCAACATTTTTCACTTTTATACACAGAGGTGGAAAGTACAATTAAAAAAATGTGATGGTCTCTGGGCTCGTCTTCCGAAGATTTCTTTTTATGATAACTATGATCTACTAGAATTTACTGATAACAGTTTTTACTACTACAGGAAGTGTTAACCCATGCATTCCTGAAGGGGTCAGAAGTGTGAACAATATTGTCCACTGGTTAACATCAAGAAGTTCAAAAGTAAAAAAGGCTGAAAACAATACTGTTTCCTGAGAAAATGCATAAACATAGATTGAAGTTATGATGTTCATGGAAGAAATAATTTTTACTGTGCCTATATAACTTGAAATATGTAATTTAGGAGGTGAGTGTTTTTGGTTGCTACTTTCAATCCCTGACTGTCAGTCGCAAAAGCTTTGTTTCAATACTGTTAGACACCGTTTCTGTTCACAGGCAATCTCTATTGTAGATCCCCCAATCTAGGTGCTACAGCAGTATTAAATGTCAACAATGTGGTTATACTTATATAAAACCAAACATTTAATTAATGTGCTAAGTCTTATTTTAATCATTGCACACGTTCTTCCTTGAATGGCTAAATTGCAATAAAGGTGTAGTGTTATAATTAACCAATCATTAAAAATGTACTTTTACAGATTAAAAAGAATTGGAAACAAATCATTCCAAGGTTTGAAAGAAATTTCTAACCTTAGGCCAAACTTGTACATATGCTTCTTCATAAAAGTAACATTTATTTCAAAGCAAAACGATTTTTTAAAAAAGCTTATTTGGGGAGGAACCAGGACCATGGCAAGCCATTCTTTGTTTTCAGGACACTCAGCATAGGCAATGTTTAGGTGAAACAGAACGTGACTGAGTTAGTTCCAACACACGTTCTGCAGTCACATGTGACTTCCCCCGAGCCTTAGCATTCCTTCTGGAACTTCCTGCCTGATAATAGTAGACCACTAGACGTCTGTTTTGTAGTATTGCCTGTCCTTAGTGGATCGCTTACTGAATATAGATGAACTATTTTCAGAATTAAGTCATTTATCTTTTCCCATTTTACTAATAAAAGGCATATACACAGTTTGTAAAAAATAGCCTGATGTAAAAATGTTTTCATTTTCTGTTATTGAGCCTATTAAAAAAGCATTTTAAAATATTATTTAAAATAAGAAGTTAGATGAGAGTAATTCAAAAGTCCATGAAAGGGAATTTAAAAATAAATTCAATATAGTGCAAAAATGTTTAAAAGCCATGTATGAATATTTTTAGTATGCCCATTTCCATGAATTTTTTTAAAAAAGAATACATATGCATGGATTTCAATTTTTTTATTACACAATAAACATCTTTTAATCCCATTATCCTCAACTTTTTAAAATATCTTCTCATTTACTATAAAGATGTCATATTTAAAGACTACCTGTCAGCTAACTTATTTTTCTAGAGAAAACTAGAACTTCTTTTAGATTATCAAGAATAAAAGAAAATATTTACGTTTTGGATCTGGATAATTCAAATGTCTGCTCTTTCTATTCTAAGGAGCTAAAGAGCACACCCTTGAAGTGTCACTTGGAATGTCAACAGAAAAATCAATTATATTATTATATAGTTAAATCAGGATCTCTCCTGCTCTCTGAAAGGCAGATACCAGGATGAAATAAATTTAACAAGTGTTCTTGGCTAATTTCTCTGCCTCAGTGCATTGGCCAGCTTTATTAAAGGCTCTGATAGGTCTAGTCATAAGACAACATGCTTCACTTCAATGCAAATTCACCTGGCAATTCAGAAATGAATTTCCCCAGATATTTTTCTGTTTGTTCTGCTTTATATAAAAGCTATAAATATCCAGTGGAACTCTGCTTGAGTCTTGAGTGGAGTTTAGTTTGTGTATCCTAAACAAATGCTATTAGAAAGGAAAATTGCTGTCTAACCCTTGGCAATAATTTAAAAGTCAACTGGAAACAATGTTTGAATCATATATTGATTTGGTTACCCATTATCATTATTGCCATCTCTTCCCCAGTCCCATGGGCTTTAAGGCCCCAATGCTAACATTGCAGATGGCATAGAGATGATTTACAACAGTAGATAATGGGAAATTTTTAAGGACAAAGAACATTTTTAGAAATGGGAAATAATCCAAAAAGAAATTACTAGCTTACTTTACATATGACTTTAAATTTTCTTCAAACAAATGAGCAAATGATGTTTCGTAAAATAATTTGATTAATATTGGGTAGTGGTCCTGGACATCCCAGGAGAGAATACTAACCTGAGATTACTTTTTCTTTTTTAGTGCCATAGCTTTGATGAAATGAACTTCATTGTGACCCTAACAGCGATGGTCTTTCCAATAAGAAGCACCAAAAATGCTCTGAAACACATTATTTCAGAATAATTGTCTCAGACCCCATGACCATATGGGTAGGAAACTTGAGACTGCACTAACAGATCTTAATATTGTACACACAACACACACACACACACACACTTATGTGTGTATGTATTATAATGCTCAGTATTAATTCAAATTAATAAGAATCAATGTACACATCCCATTTTCAGGAACATTTTGGATTAACTCAAGTCATGTGTTTCCCCAGTGAAGTTCATGTGTACAAAGTGGGAAAAGATAACTCATTGCTTTTTTTTAAACATATGAACATTTGTATGTGCTTCATCCAAAATATTTCTGGTAAATTCATCTTTACAATAATTTAAAAATATTATTTTTCAACCACACATTATATGTAGGAAATTACCTCACAGAACAATTATTCTAAATGAGATAATCTTGGCTCATTTAACAAATAAACCTTTGTTGCTATGAATATATAAGCTTCCCCATGAAGAAATGAAACTCTTTCATTGCTCTGGCCACTTGCATAAACTCGGGAACTTCAAGTTTTGGACTTTGTTTTGACATTGGAGAAGTATTTTTATTCATACATGTAGGTAATTTTGTTTTAATAGATGATTATAAATTAAAGAGTTTTCTACCTCAAAAAAGACTATCTGGTATTTTAAATGCTTTACATGTAATTATAAAATGTTTTATGATATGTTAGCTTATAATGCACTTATTACACTTTTTGACAAATTAGAAATGTGTCATATTCATGCTACTTTGTATCAAAAAGAGTGAATATGATGAAATTCAACTTACAAATGAAAAATAGACAAATTTTATATTGACCAATTCAACTTTCAGGATAAATACCATTTTGGAATTGTAAGCTAATACCAGAATGTAAGCTTTTTAGAATAGCAATTTACAAAAGTTAACCTCTTGAGATATGAAATGAAAATTCATCTTAAAGTTCACCAATAGATTTTTTTTTTTAGTTAGTACTGCAATTCAGTATTTCATTTCCCACGTTTCTGCCACATACCCATGTTGACTTGTTCTGCTGACCACATCTTTGGCTAATGTCGCACTCTGTAGTCAGCTTAGGACCCAGGCAGAAACACACAGAGGCTCCTCTACTGCTTTTACAGTGCCTGCCATTTCCCTCTCTGTTTTTCCATTGAGAGGCCTGACAGGAAGTACAGACATTGTCCTACTGGGACTTAAGATTTCCTTTTTTTTTAGTCCTCTGCAATTTTAACCCAGAAAGTTGGAGAAAGTAATACTTCAGAATATCAAACTTATGTGACAAATTCTAGGATTTCCTTTTTTTTCTTTGATCCATAGATGACCAATTAAAATGGCTAATATGCTATTAGGAAACACAATATTAATATAATAATAGTAAAATTAAGAGATTTTCTTCAATGTCCGACATAAATTAACTTCCTGGAAAGGTTTAGAAGAGAAAAACCTTGATGTCTTGGAAAATTAAGAAGTTTATTCACATCGGTAAACTGCAGGTTTTCACAGTTCACTAATGGAAATCAACTGACTCAAACCAGTTGGACTTCAAAAGATAAATTTGAATTAATTATTTGAGAGGTTAAGACACACACACAGAGAACTCAGAACTGTCATCAGCTGGCTCACTCCTCAAATACTCCCAATGGCCAGAGCAGCAGGAACCAGGACCCTGGGACTGGACCTAAGATGCCAGTGTGGGTGGGAGGGAACCATCTCCTTGAGCTATTTGTATTGCTAGCTGCCTTCCCGACTCAGCATTAGCTGGAATGTGGAGTCAGCTGCCAGAACGGGGGATCAAATCCAGCTACTTCAGTGCCAGATTTCTGGACAAAATCCCCACAGCTAATGATCTTGAATCTGGAAATGCAGAGTAATTTTTAAGTGACAGTGCTCTTTGATAATATCCCCTCAGTGACAGTCAATACGCAGAATACGTTTCCTGTTAATATTACGGAAAATCCCAACCCACTAGAGAGCACTGGAGCTGAAATGGGGTGCTGTGCGTCATCTCTCCTACCTTAGAATGACATCACCAGAACATCCCCGTGTCTGCACAGCACCACCCCGCCTAACCCAGCACCGCCTTCCTATCATGTGATCCATTAATACAGTTTCCAAAAATCAGGGAACCACCTGAAAGTTTGCTTCAGCCATGCTCAGTGCCTTGTTCCCACTGTGCCTGCCCCACAATTCCTTCGGCTTACCTTTCCTCTCTGCAGCCTCAGCCCTGGTCAGGTAGTAGTAAAAGCAGTCCAGTTTATCCGGCTGCTCCTCCAAGGGCTTCTGTTGCCAGATAAGGGACCTCACTCTCGCTGTCTCCCTCAGGGCATCCCACTGCTCCATGAGACTGAAGAGCTCAGTGAAGGATTTGTGGTAACCGTTCCGCAGCATATCCACACAGATGTTCTTCCTGTACGAGTTCCTGTGACTGGGAGCACAATGAGAGCACTCAAAGCTTTATTCTATTCCTGCTAATTCACACAGTGTTTTTGTGTTCTAATAACTGTAGGCTGGATCACACAGTGCTTTTCACTTCTGAGAAAGCACTGAAAACTACCAAAAGAACTGCGTCTCAAACATTTATAATGAGACAGCTTCAGTTTAATAAAAAATATTTGGACCTATCTAATAGAAATTTTAATGAAATTAAATTATAAGCATATCGGTTTCATGACTGAGCTCCCTTTAAAAGCACAGATAAGCTAGCAGACTGACACACTAGCATCTCTCACATACACACAAAGAAAAAAAACAAAATGTGTCAAGCAAAAATAAAAAATTTGCCATTTAATCTACAAACATAATCTGCTCTATAGCCAGCATTTTCATTGTGTATTATGCATATTTGCTATTCATTCATGCAGAAAACGTTTATAGAGCTCCATTACCAAATTTATCTTTTAGATTATTTTCAGTTACAACCAACCTAGTGGTGGTTTGCTGAGTTAGAAATTCACTTCTAAGAAATAATAAGTAACATGCAAAGAAAGTGGAAAAAGTGATAAGTGAATATTACACTTTATTCAAATGATACCTTTTGAGTTCCAACACTGCTTTAGACCAAAAAGGCTCAACCCCTTGTATACTTTGCATTATAGCTGGAAGACATGCCCAAGAAATGTAAAAATGAGTGGTATACAGTATGCAGTGATGGGGATTTCTACTTAAGAAATAGCAATATTTTTGGATGACAGCTGTGCATGGCTATTATTCAATTAAAATATCAGATGGTAAAATGAAGACTTTTTTTTAATTATTGGAAAAGTCAGATATACAGAGAGGAGAAACAGATTCACTGATTCGTTGATTCACTCCCCAGGCGGCTGCAATGGCCAGAGCTGAGCCAATCTGAAGCCAGGAGCTTCTTCTGGGTCTCCCATGCAGGTGCAGGGTCCCAAGATTTTGAGCCATCCTCGATTGCTTTCCCAGGCCACAGGTGGAAAGCTGGATGGGAAGCAGGGCTGCTGGGACAGGAACCAGCACCCCAATGGGATCCAGGCGGGTGCAAGGCAAGGACTTTAGCTGCTAGTTTACTGTGCTGGGCCCAAATGCAGAACTTTACACTACTCTGTATTTCTTCAGGAGAATAATACTTGGAACCACTGTAATGATGTGATGCTTTTGGTAATTTTCATGGGGAGTGAAAAAATAAAAGCTGATCAAGAGAACACACATATATTCAACACAACTTTATCTAATCTCCCCAGACATTAGCTTTTCGTCATTTAAAAAATATTTATTAATATTGTGCACCCCACCTTTATCACTATGCTCCTCAAGAACTCAAATGAAATGATACACCTACAACACTAGGGATTGTGAGGCTGCACCACTAATTTTCAAACCTGGTGTTTAAAAAACAAGCCTAAAAAACTGCCCAAACTATATTAGCCACAAATCTGAGGTATATAAGAAAACAAGAATATAAAAGGAAGAGATTGGTGACATACGAACATTAGAAACAAAACAGGCAGGATATTTTCCTTATTGGTATTTTTGAAAATTTGACTATACTATGTCACTATAAAGATCTTTCTGATCATGCCCATTTGGAGTTCTATGCACTTCCTATACTTTGATGCCCAAAGCTTTCTCCAAATTGGAGAAACTTGCTACTAGTATTTCATTGAATTCTTTGTTCTGTTCCTCCCAGAATGCCAAAGACATGTGTTTGGTTGTTTCATGGCACCTCAGAGTTCCTGAACCACTGTCTTGGTTCTTCTGATTTTTCTTTTTATTTTTGTCTGAGATATTTCAAGATTTGTCTTCTAACTCAGATATTCTTTCTTCTGCCTCTTTGAGTCTGTTTTTGAATCTCCCTGCTGTTATTTTTGACATTAAATTCTTCACTTCTGACATTTTAGTTTAATTTTTCTTCAGCATATTTCCCTGTAGAATTTTTCATCCATGTCATGTACAAATCTCCTTATCTAATGTAATTGCTTCTTTATGTTTTTCAGTAATCTTAGAATCATATCAAATTCTTTTAAAAGTATTTCTTCAGTCTCATTGTGTTCACAGTCTAGTATTAATGTAAAATTATCATGTTACTTTTGGGTATCATATTGTCTTTCTTGTTCATCTTCCTTGTGCTTCTATGTTTATTTTTACATATCTGGGGAATCACTCATTGGTATCTCTTCTGTACACTTTGTTCTTTGAAATGTACCTCTGGGCCCTGGTGGAATGCCTGTGGCTTAAAGGCAGTATTGATGTCCGCAGTGTACTGGTTAGGACCAGAGAGCCAGACAGGAAAATACAATCCCAAGGAAACAGATCAAGAGCTAAGAACAAATGCTGTCATCTAGCCCCTGCTTTCACCGAGATTTCTTAAAGACCTTAAATTAACTTGTTATTTTCTTAGGACATAAGGTTTGCTTTTTTTGTTTTGTTTGTTTGCTTGTCTTTGTTTTGTTTGTTTGCTTTTGAGGAGCAGACACAGGGGTTCCTCCGTTGTTTCACTCCCTAAATAACAAGCAATCCACAGCATGGTAAGATACAACCACTTGACCATCACCTGCTTCAAGTCTCTGTTCTGCTCTCAATTCTAGCTCCCTGCTCATGTGCATCCTGAAGAAGCAGCAGGTGAAGGCTCAAGTGGTTGGTCCCTGGACATGGAGTGGTTGGCTGCACTGGACATGGAGGCAACAGGAGAGAGGTAGACTCTAAAATGGAATTAAGTAATCACACATTTCATATTGGTCTTTTTGCCACTTAAAAGCACCATACAATGGAGATTCGGCTAACTATTGAGTTTATATTAAAACTTTTCTAGAAACTTGCAAGACCCTAAATAAAGCTGAGTAAAGGTAAGCAAAATTAACTAACTTGCCATAACTCCACAGAAGTGAAATGCACAGTGGCAGTGGGAAACATGCCTACTTATAAACAGCCACAGAATTAATGTGTCACTTTAAATTCTGTTTTCAATGTTTTATATTAACTTCCACTTATTAGGGACCCCACAACATGTCAGGCATCACACAACTGTGCAGATATCAATCCTAAAAAACACAGCAATTCTAAAATTCCATTTCCACATTCAGTTTAAACAAAACAGACTTTTCAGTGAGATTGCAAATCGCCCAGGATCATACAAGCTCCCAACTGGCAGAGTTGGAATTCGTTTCCAGCTTTCTTTGTCTGTAAATTCCACAATCTCGCCATTTCCCCACATCAAACATGACTGCTTTTTCATCTTTCCTTCTTCTGCACAATGTTCTGTTTATTTGCATCAACTGTTTAAGCATTTGACATTGTATTTCTTCCTCAAAAAATTGTTTTGTTTTGGAAGTTAAGGTTATTTTGAAATAAAATGCCAGGGTGACTCTTCAGTTTGAATGCTGTTCTCTTCATACATGTGAATCCACTGGACTGAGAAAACAAATCAGTATCATTCTCTCACTCCCCCAGAGAATCTCCCTCCTTAAACGGAAGGAGCAGACAGCCCAGGAGCATCCATAAAAACTAAGTTAAATACATTTACTCACAATTGCAGGTGTAAAACCTAACAAAAAGAAAATAAATAGCAACAACAACAAACATTTAAAAGGATAAAATCATGTACTTTTATAATTATTAAAAAAGATGAACAGATATAACTAACTTATTTTATTGTTTGCAACGCCACTAGTTATCTAAGTGACTCCTTCAAAGGGATTTAAAGGTGTTATTAATCGAATTTTGGGGAAAAAGGATTAGCCCATTGAAACAAGATTGCTATGTTTAGTACATTTTCCACATTTAAATTAGAAATGATAACACCAAAGTGAAACCTCACATTTAGTAAAATAATTCAAAAGCATTTAAAAGAAATCATTTAAAAGGAGATCACAACATTTTATTTAATCTGACAATGATAAACTCAAAACTCAGGATAATACCTTTATTCCATTAGGTTGATATTTATAATTCACTAGTGGATTATCTGTGTCAGTTGTAACAGTCTTACATTCATATCAGAAGGATAAATGTTATTGGAATTACCTATGGGATAATTACATTGACTTAAATTAATACTTAAATAGCTTCAGTTAATATAACTTCCGTGGAATGGAGTGAATCACCATTTTTAACCATACCTTTCAGTGCAGATAGATATTACAGAAAGTTAACATGGGAAAAAAAAAGTGGCCATTTCCTGCCATAAACATGTTAGTTGATAAAGTTGTAGGTATTGAGTCTGTCTTATAATTTTTATGAAAAAAATAATTTTCCTCAAGGCTAAAACAATGATATAGTAAGTTCCTAGCCCACAAATATGTAGATTTTTTGAAAGAAGTTAAAAATCTTAAAAAAAAAAAAAACCCAACCTGGATTTATAGCGATTTCATTTTAGAAACTTTCAGAACTACAGTTCAAACTGAAAGCAGTGTTCTTAAGTTGACACATTTAGATTTTGAACATTTATCAGAGTAGAGATGAACACTGCTTAAGAATATTATTGCCACCATAATAATAACAAGCTCTGGAAATTCATAAGTTCATGGAGAGTTAAGGTTTTAAGAATCTTCAATTTAGTTTCTGTGTTAATTAAAATATAAGAAGAAAAAATCCAATATGATGCTTCATTTTCAAATTTAAAGGATTTCCAATGAGTTGACTGGTCTCTGGGGGCATCTACTGGAAGTATAGCAAACTGCAGTCAGATCATGCTAATTTGATAATTTTCATTATCCACCTAAGCACAGATATTTTAATTGATATGCAAATAAGCCGATGCACGAAGAATATAAATATAAAGTTACGCAAGTTCTTCTTTCTAATTTTTTGGTAACAGTAGAATATACTACTCTCTCTGAGCTCAGTTAACCAGTGCTCAACCATTAACAACGAAAACAGGGCAGGTGGCACAGCACAGATGAAGCTTCCAAATCATTTTTCACTTTTGAAATAAATTAAACATTTTATAAATAAACATGCATATAT